CATATCAATTGCAAGTCCATTCTGGACCACATGGGACCCAAAATCAACTACCCAATGTTAAGCCCATTCCAAGCTAAACCCGATGCAACCCTATCTCTCTTTCCTCGTCCAGCACCACTCGACTGAATGCGTAGAGACCTCACTGCCGGGGACTCTTCACCCCACAGCCGGTTTCCTCGAAATTTTGCTTGCATGAAACATCAAGTCAAAACGGATTAGAAACGTGGGACTCTCAACAACAAATGAGCAAGTATTTTAGTCCAAATATGACTCAAAAATCAAGCTAAAAATAGTGTTTTTTTTAGTATAAATAACCATTGTAATCAACACTAGAGGACACACACGAGATTATCACAGAGAGATTACACAAGAATCACACACGATATTACACAGTTAATACACGAGCATTACGAGAGAAAACACCAGCAAATACGAGAAATCGAAGCAAGTCTTGTAACTGTTCGAAAGAGAAATAAAAGGTTTAATTTCTTTTTACCTTCGTTTTGATTTTCCTTAGCTTGCATGTTGTTTTTGGCTTGAAGAGTGCTCAATACGCCAATGAAAAAAGGGGAGATCGAGATTTTTAATGTCAGATCCGCTCTTCCCCGAGGCACGTTTTAAAAAATGGCTTGGTTATTCGTAATCTATGCGAGAAGAGCCTTCGAAAAAAGTAGGCTTTTATGTGTTTCGTCGCCGATGAACGGCGGTCGATGCCGTTCAAAGGCGACCGGCAAGGCGGCGCAACCATCGGTTCTTGGAAAACTAGGCGTTCGTTCTTCGCGAGGAAGAACAGTTGAGAGCACAAGGAAGGGGAATGAGCTCTCGATTTTTTTTAAAATGAAACTAAATGAAGTTTTAATTTTTTTTAAGTTTTATAGCTAAACCGTCGAACCGACCGACCCGACCCATACCTGCAAAAGGGGATCCGCGTGTTTTTGAATAAATGGAGAAACCTCCATTTGGTCACTCCATGTTTTAAAACATTCAATTTTGCCCCTAAATCAATTTTAATCCTTAATTGGCTTTGAATTTGGCCCCAATCTTGGATTTTCATTCATATTAGTCATTTATTTATTTTTATTTGTTTCCTATTATTATTCGTATCATGGTACATATATTTTAATTATTTTGATTTTTTTCGTTATATATATTGTTTTATGCATGTAAATAATTTACTTATAAACTTATTATGATTATATGTATATTCTGACTCTCTTTGTTTGATTATTTTTCTATTATATTCTATCATTATATATATATATATATCTTTTTTGTTATTTTGTTTATTTTTCTATTTTATTTCAGTTTCTTTATTTTCATTTTGCTTAATTTATTTACTTCTTTATCTTCATTTTATTATTATATTTTTTAGCTTTACTTATTTATTTTATCGTCTTTGTTTCATTCGATTTTATTTATTTTTCTTGATTTCATTACCCTTTTTTTTCATCTAACGTGTTTCTTTTTTAAGGACGATTTCAAATCACGCAAATGTAAGTTTTGGATCATTATTTTACCTTTTAATTTAAACTGTCAATTTTCTTAATAAGACAATTGGAAATTACGTAGTACTGGAAGGGCAGTTCAGTGGTGCTAATCCTTCCTTGACTGTAACCAACTCCCGAATCCGACACATCTTTGGAAAGACGCAGATCAGGTAAGAAAAAAGGTATCCGATCAACCTGTTTTATTCTTAAAATAAATGATCGGTGACGACTCCAATTCATTTTCCTAAGTCGAAGCCCAAATTTGGGGTCCAACCGAAAGACGGTTCCGACAATTAATTAGGTGGGAATGTAAGAGTTGTATTTGATATTGAGTCACCTTATAATTTTATTCTTAATATTATTTTGGATTTAAGGAGCTTCGAATTTTGTATTGTTTTAATTTGATGTCATTTCCTTTTATTTAAAAATATTTAGGTCATTTTGGTGGTTGGATTTGGCACTCGTAAATTCGTCAAAGGTTGCTCATCAAATTTAGGATGCTACATTTACTGAAAAAGTTTTACATAAATTTTATATAATTAAATAAGTTCATCAATTTGCATAATTCAATTTTATTTTCACATAATACTTAAACATTTTTTTCAATTTAGCAGCCTCGATCATATTAAAATTTAGTTATAAAAAGTCAGAATAATTGTTTTATAATTGAAGTGATTATAAAATAATAATTTTTATAATTTTTATTTTTTATTAATAACGTATGCAAACTCACATATGTAATTATTTAAATCTAAAACTTTTTAATACTCACTTCAATCACTAAATTTACTTAATAAATTAAATAAAGACAATCATTAAATATTTTCACAAAAAAATAAATAAAATATATCTAGAGAAAATATGTTATTTAAAACAAAGATTATGTGCCCTAGACAAGTAGTCATGACTTGTCAAAATTGCATTACTATGATGGGGCGTGTATCTACAATAGAAATTATAATAATTGTTTATAATTTAATATATTCAAATATGCTGTAATAAGTAGGGACGTATATCAATCATTTGGTAGATGATGGTCCCGATTAATTTTTTTTTTAATTTTGGAATAAGATTTCCTATTTTTTGATATGATTTTTTTTTTGCACGATCTTCATGATTGTTGGTATGTTTTTTGCATACATTTTGTAGTCGTTTTAGTTCTCATATAAAAATTATCACGATATTTTTTTGATTGGTTAATTAATGATCTTATATAGTCAGATATCTTCTTTTAGTAAGAAGTTGTTGGCTGATGTAATTAGATTATATAGCAAAATAGCCTGTCAGATTATTTGGTTCTCTTTCCACTCCTTTATCACTTCGTCGAGCATCTCATTCAATAGAGATAAAGAGTTTTTATGAAGGTTATTGGTTTTGATTTTGGTCGTCATTTTCATTAAAAGATTTTAATTTTCTTCGTACCTTTAATTTTAATTTTTACTTTTATTTGAGTATTTGGTGATTATTGTCTCTAAATTTCTCTATATAATTTGATGAGTTGTAATTTTAATTCATTCCATTATTAATAAAATACTATTATCATTATTAAAAAATAAATTAAATAAGGGCAATCATGAAAGAACTTCACACAAATAAATAAAATATACCTAGAGAATATATTATTAGCTGACCCTTATTCTCATATGTAATGGAGTAAGGGGGAGGTAAGATAGTAGACTGTCCCCAACACCAGATTGAGAGCAGCTTCCGTAGGAGACCTCCGAATTATGAAAAACCCTCCATAGCCCACGCTTAACCTTGTGCTCTACCAACTGAGTTGGATAGTCATTTATTTAAAACAAAGATAATGTGCACTAGACAAATAGTCATGACTTGTCAAAATTGCATGATTATGATGGGGGCATGTATCTACAATAGGAATTATAATATTGTTTATAAAATAGTCATGACTTATCAAAATTGCATGATTATGATGGGGGCATGTATCTACAATAGGATTTGTAATATTGTTTATAATTTAATATATTCAAATATGTTGTAATAAGTAGGGACATATATCAATCATTTGGTAGATGTTGGTCATCATTATTTTTTTTTAATTTTAAATAAAATTTTTTATTCTTATGATATGATTTTTTTATGTTCTTATGGCACAATCATCATGGTTGTTGGTATATTTTTCACATATCTTTGTGGTCGTTTTGGTTCTCGTATAAAAGTCATCACGACATTTATTTTTTGATTGGTTAGTCGGTGATGACGTATAATCAGATCCCTTTTTTTGGTAAAAAGTTGTTGGTCGATGTAATTAGATTGTGTAGGAAAGCAGCTTGACAGATTATTCTATTCGTTCTCCATTCAATTTTTCACTTCGTAGAGCATCTCATTCAATAGAGATAAGGAGTTTTTATTAAAGTTATTAGGTTTTAATGTTGGTCTTCATTCTCATTGGAATGTTTTAATTTTTTCGTATCTTTAATTTTAATTTATACTTTTATATGAGTATTTTGATGAATTTTCATTTTATATTTTGATGCGTTATAATTTTAATTCATTCAATAATTAATAAAATATAGTTTTTATTGTTAAAAAAATAAATTAAATAAGCACAATCATGAAATATCTTCACACAAAAATAAATAAAATATATCTAGAGAAGATATGTTATTTAAAACAAAGATAACGTGCACTAGACAAGTAGTCATGACTTGTCAAAATTGCATTATTACGATGGGGGCATGTATCTACAACAGGAATTATAATATTGTTTACAATTCAATATATTCAAATATGTTGTAATAAGTAGGGACATATATCAATCATTTGGTAGATGCTTTAATTTTTTTAATTTTTTTCTGGGAGATTTTTTGTTTAATTCATATTAAATAAAATATTTTAAAAAAAACAAATGAAAAAAAATATTCGGACAGGGTACAGATATCTAAATTTGATATTTTTAAATATTTTTTATACCTATTATCGATATTAAGTAGTAGTAAAAAAATTGTAACTATTTCTCACAATATTATACATAGATTAGATATATCATGACAAAGTTTTCAAAAGAAAAATATCTTTTATAAGTTCCTTTTTGCAAACACAAGTTCAAGAGAGAACTTTGAAGGCGAGGCAGAGCAAACAAAAAGATTTCTATACTAATGATATCAAAAATTATATTGTTAGTGATATATCTTAGAGCATTAAAATATAAAAATAAAAATAAGAGAATAGAATAGAATAAAATTAAATTAAATTAAAGTCAAAATTTTAATAAGAACACAATAATATTGTTTTTGTTTGCCCTCCATATTTCAAGGCTTTGCCTTGATTAGTGCGAATCGACCTGCATCACACACCTAACTTTGGTGACATAATAATATTATTTATGCTATTAGATTTAGGTTAATTTGAGATTAAAAAAATAAATATTCAAGATTAAAAAGAGAGCAATTAAAATTTAATAATTAAAATGATTAAGATGATAAAGTTAAGGGACCAAAAGACCATTCTACCTAAATAATTTTGGCGGAGAAAATCTAAATAAATGGTAGTATTAGTTTTTAGCAGCACCCAATGTCAACGTGGAAGGGAAGTCGCCAAAAAAGATCAAAGATGGTTGTCCGATTCACATATCCAATCCTTTTGTGTACTCTGATTTTAATGGTAATTTCCAGTTTCCGACGAATCAATTCATTCACACAAATGTTTCTTTTCATACTAAAACTAACGCAACTCACTCTCTGTACATTCATAGTATGGCCGAGTCGATGCAGCCGACGACTTGCAAGAAAATGCTTCGTCTTCTTCCATTCAACCATTGGCAGAGAAGAAAACCGAAAGCACACAGATAGGTTTATTCACCATGGATGAACTACTCAGTTTCAGAGCTGGTACAAAGCTCCCCATCTTCTTCCCCATCAGAAACCTCTCTCTTTACCCTCCTTTGTTTTTGCCTCAAAACTTGGCCAAAATCATCCCTTTCTCGACCAAGGAAGCCGCCGCCGTTTTCCACCTCTTCTCGGTCCCGCCCGTTTCCCGACAAGGCGAGGCCTTTTTGGGTACGTTGTTAACATGTGAAGATTCCATCAAAGGGGAAAACAAAATCTGCGCGACTTCTTTAGATTCCATGGTTGGTTTCGTTGAAAAAGCTTTCGGACCCGGTGTCGGTTTCGAATTTGTTACCACGACCCACCCGACGATAACGACTCCGATGATCCAAAGCTACACCGTTTTGGAAGCTCCGGTGGAGATCCGATCTGGAAAGATAGTGCCTTGCCATCCTTTCCCGTATTTTTACGCGGTTTATTTCTGCCACAGTGATCCGAATTATGGGACCAAAGCTTTTAAGCTCCGACTTGCGGCGGAGAGTGGTGGGGATGAGGTGGAGGCTGTTGTGGTTTGTCATCTCGATTCTAAGAATTTGAGCTCCGATCACATAGTGTTCCGAATGCTGGGTATCGAGAAAGGCGGATCTTTTTGCCATGTTTTTCGTCAGGGTGATCTTGTTTGGATTCAGAAGACCACCACACCGGTTGCTGCTATGTAAATGAATTTCGTTCTTCTTTGTGTTGTCGGTTTAATAATTATGTTGAATCTGGAATACTTTTGTAGGAGGGGTAAGGCCATTTGTTGAAATGATTGTGGAAATTGAGTTATGTTCAGAAAATTGGGACGCATGTGCGGTGCCGGCGCCGGCGACTGAGATTTATATTTATCTCTGTTCAAGCACCGGACCACCCACCAAGACAAAAGAAAAATACTCAAGACTTGATAAAAGAAATTTGAAATCAGTTCAACTTATCCCAAAACATTCACATTAATGAAAATTTTGAAAAAGAATATACAAATCTAAAAAATTGATAAAATATGGGTTTTTTTGTAATTTTAAAAATATGTTTTTATAAACTTAATATTATTATTAAGTTTTTAAAAAATAATTTTTTGAAAAAAATATAAGCAAACACATTAAAATTAATATATCTACTAACGGTTAATCGTTATTAACGATTCAATTAAAGATTTAATTACAGGTTAACCGTAGGTTAATATATTATAATTATTTATCGATTTTTTTTATAATTCATACTATAAAAAACATATCACTTAACATATATTTATATCGGTGTAAGTAATTAAAATAAAAAAGTGTAGCACTAAAAAAAAAGTGTAACACTAACATAAAAAAGTTTAGAGATCAATTTAGAATGAGATTCATAGTTTGGGGATGAAATTTGAATGTTCAAAACTTTAAGGTCTAATTTAAAATGGGAGTCATAGTTGGAGGATGAAATTGAAATGTTTAAAGTTTAAGGATTAATTTGAAATGAGAGTCATAGTTTGGAAACATATGATACAATTAACTCTTTAATTTATTATCGGTTAACATAAATTTGAAATATATTTTATTAACAGTTAACCGTTTATTAAAATTTGTAATCGTAACTTTAACCGTTAACCATCATTTTTAGTTATTTGGTTAACTGAAATCATTTAGTATTAACGATCCAGTTATACACCTAAAATTAACATAGTATAATTTGAACACTTAAAAAAAAAATTATCTTTGCCACGTCAAAACAGCACCTGGACGTTACCATGTAATCACCAGATTTGTCAATCTAAGAGTTGTATTGTAATTAACAAACAGAGATGGTATTACAATTAAAAACTAGAGAGTTGTTCTGGGAAATGCTTTAAACTATAATCAGGTTGAAGTAAAGCTGACCAAACTTGAAACTGTAGCATTTATTCTACACATACTATATATAATTCATCTAGTCATGGAACATAATCTATCATTGCAGCACCTAATTTGCCTATTGGAAGATGAAATTTCATATCAGATCTTCACCATCATGCAATTGCACACATTCAATTTGCCAGAAACATTAACAACCACTCACTTACTAGTCTCATGAAAACAAAGTCTATCATTAAATTGATTTGAATAGCTCAGTTATTAACTTAATAAATGGACATTTAGGAATAGTTTTTTTTCTTTAATGAGGCCGAGATGATTACAAGATAGTATCTATTCGGAATATTTCTTAGTCATTGACAACACACCTTGTGGACGCCATTGCTTGAACCCGGGACCTCTAAGGAGTACAACACTCACTTTTACCACTTAGGTCGCTTGATGGGTTCTTTAGGGTAGTTGTTGAACTGTATAAATAGCACGGCGAAATTTGAAGTGATTACCTTAATTCTAGTTTGGCACACCCTTTCTTTATCAGTTCTGTTCTTTTACTACCAAAAACAATTTTTCCTTTTTTTTTACTTCCACATTTTCACTTGCATATTGGTACCAGGAGGAAACAGAGAGTGAAAGTCAATTAGTCAAATGGTAAACTACTTACCATAGTTTTGCTGCACCGTTGTGAATCTGTAAATTGCCTTAATTACTGACCCATATGTCTGTAGAAAAGAACAATAAAATTTATAACTTAGCGCATGGAAGTAGGATTTCTTCACACAAGAAAGGGTCCAAAGTTATGCAATAACTTTAACTTTCAGCTCGTAAGTCGAATCTAAACTGACACTACATCTGCAGTCAGTACTCATCGTTAATAGAAATTACTGCAATAGGTTAAGAGAACAAATACTTCTAGCCAACTGATCATGCATAAAAATAAAAATGAACATAGAAAATGCCAAAGAGTTTAGAGCAACAATAGACTGAATGGAGCTTTTTCTGGTGCTTATCGTTACTTTTCCCTTTAAATTGCAAACAAAAAATGAAAACAGGAAGCTACACATGAATTATATTTTGCTCTGTAGAAAAAAAAAACAAAATATTCCAAATCTACTTTTCTTCAGTTTTTTTTCTTTCCTATTCCTTCTATAAAAAGAATGGTGCACCAAAGAATAGATCATTTAGAAAGTTGTAGATTAATTAATCAGTTAGAGTTCCGAATAAGCATCTTTAGCAGATAAGAAAACAACAAGACACTTTCCTTGATTCCCAAGAATTTTGGTCAAGAGAATACTCACTGAATCTCAGTATATCGCATTCTCCAGGCAGGGAAACCTAAGTGGCACCTGGCAGGTCCATATATTAATATAAGATCAGGTTCTGGCACTGCACTGCCTAATAGAGAAGAAGATTACCAAACATCAAATTAACTGAGCAAACAAAACTGGTTGTAATAACTAACAAGTAGATCAGACAAGTAACACAAACCAACAGTTTTGAGTGCCTCGTTCATTTGAGATTCAGTGAAGATTTGCTATCCCTGATCTGAGCCAGTGCCACCTGAGTTTATGTACTTCGTAAGAAGTACATTGGCTGCTCTAGCAACCGCTTCTTTTCCATCAGAAAATGATACAAACTCCAAAGTCATACGTAGTTGGTCTACTAGCACATTGTTTTCATGAGTATCCTGAATAAAATAGATCAATAGGTAGCAGTACTTTAGCACTTTTAGTAACATTCCATTTGTATCAATGTATGTCGCAAAATGATTCAATGATTAGATACATAACTGGAGCTAAGCAGGCATATGGTGCATGAAGTAAGCTCCTTAAACTAACGTTTTGAGAAAGAAACCATATGAAGAGTCCAATGAATACAACAAGCACTATAAATCTTACAAATCTGTATCATACTTTTAATAGGATTTTTAAGTTTCTAAACTGCAAAGTTAACCTTAGTATCTCTACTAAAATAGTTTAGTAGTTTAGAACCGCAATAGTGTATATTGTTGATGAATCACGGTGAAATATGAAAAAATCTACCTTGACCATGAGCAGAGAGGATAGTACCTGAAACATTGCTGCACCATCGAACTGCTCCAAGATTAAGTCTTTTGATTTCTTCAGTATTCCTACAACAGAGAAATGACATCAAATACTATGAACTGTGGATACATCTTCACCTGATCAATCCAGCAACAGTGAGAAGGAAGAATTCTAACCTTCGTTATCATAAAGGCAAACATGCTTAATACCAAGAGCTTCCAGCCATTGCAAAAGCTCCAAAACATTCGAAGTTCGGCATGCATCTTCATTTTCAATCACAATAGCCAGATACTGGATCTTGGATATATGGAGGGACTTGTATTTCCTCGGTAATCCCCAAGAGATAAGACGGCCTTCAAGTGCATGCACCACACCCATCGTAAAGAAGCATAGGTAGATAATAGCATGTACAAGATGCCACGATAATCGAAGTAGAATATTTCCAATCTGCACGAAACCTTGAACCAGAAATGTAAATCTAAAATCTAATATAACTGAAAGACATAAAATTCACTCAGCGCATCAGCCATGATAATTTGGCAGAAAACTCATCACTAATAAGCTTCAAAACCCATTCTTGACTAAGAGAAAGGAATATATAGTTAAAAATTAAAATCTATCCAACAAAAGCGGTTTACAAATCAAAGCGTTGAAGTTTGAACAATTAGGAAGTACAGGTATTCGAAAATCCATGCGTAAGCTTTCACAATATCAACTATCCACTGAAAATTCAAGAGTAAAAGAAAAAAACCCATCAAATTAATGCTACAAAAAAGATTAATTTACAAAAAAAAAATCAGTAACCACGTACTTTATCAATCCAGAAACGCAACATCCCTTTCGCCTAGTGAAATCCATTGATCTCTGAAAGCAAAGAAATAAACCCAATTAATGATTAAAAACTGTAAATTGTTTGATAGGAATCGTTTGAGAAAATAGCTTGAGAAAGTGGAATCCGGCCTCCTACATTTAAACATAAGCAACGGATTAGTGGGGCTTAGGCGCTTAGCTAAATCACAGCTTAGGCCTTCGAGGCTTCGAGCAACAGGAACTCGAGAAATTCAAAAGGAAAAATAGAAAATAAAAAGCTTCCTAGAGAGATTTGGGAAACCCTGAAAAGCAAAATCAACAGTTGAGAAGCTAAATTTTTGGAGATTAAAAAGAGGATGAAAGAGTAGAGAGAAAGCAGTTCCAAAACGTGACTAGTGAAGACTACGTGAACGTACACATAAGAACAAACAGAGGGGTGTTAAAACAACTGAGTTAATTCCATTAGTTGATTTAATCATTTGATTTGATTAATTGATTTAAAAAGTTGATTTAAGAAATAAATTTGATTAATTGTTTATATAGAAGTGTTTAATAAAATTTAACTTATAGTTGATATCAGTAAAATGATAAATTAGGGTATAATATATTTAGTTGTTAAGTATATATATGTTTTATAATACTTTAGTCTTTAGTGGGCTGAAATTATTCGAAAAAAATAATTTTGACAAGAATTTAAAAATTCTTAAAAAAATTAATAATTTTTTTTTTGAAAATTGTTTAAATTTAATATTTACAAATATTAACCATGTGAGATTGATACATCCTATTAACCTTATATAAAATATCAACACTATATTTTTTTCCTTTCATGTTTTGCTATATTTTCTTAATTAAAATATATTTGAGAGTCTACAACTAAAAAATAGAATAATAAAATAAAATTTCACTAAAATATATTAGGATGAAGGCTATTTCATTAGATTAAGTTTTATGGTAACGATGTAATTATAGAAATAATAAGGTCAAATATATTATTTAACATCTTATTTTGCAATAAATTCTCCTAAAACGTTGGATTTTTCAACTTTTTCATTTTCAACTTATTTTGCAAAATAAATTCTTTTAAAAAAGTGTTTACCAAACACTAAAAAAAAT